ATTCTATTATATTTTTATATATTTACAATTATTTTCACTTCTTTTTTTTTGTTTTTAAATTAAAAATTAATTATTTTTCTCTATCTTATATATGTATTTTTTTTTTATATTCATATCTGTTTGAACATTTTTAAGTATAATAGATTATTATTATTCTATTATATTTTATTAATATTTTAATTATAGATGTATAATTTATTCAGTGACTGGGGAAAAATATAAAAGTACAAACATTTGTAAATAGAAAACAACATTTAATTTTGAAAGTTTTGATATAATAATATCATTTTATTTATTTATTATATTTTTTCATTAGATTTCTTAAATACAGAATATGTAATTAAAAATTATTTAAAATATTTTTATAGACGAGGTGGACCTCCAATAAGCCTTAGTTCGACGCGTCTGAAACGCGGTTCCGTTCAAACCGGTGGATCCGGCGATGATTCAACAACTCAGGACGAAAGCATCGATGGTGAGGAAACTGTCAACTGAACAAGAAAACACAGCACTTATTGAATCCTCACAACACAGGAAATCCATAAACCCAGGTCCAAGAAGTGTGTACAAGATACGCTTCGACCAAAATTGAGTTCGAATCGGAGAACTCGTTTCTATGAGTTCAAAAGTCGATTCCAATGCACCCAACGATGCCATTAGATGAGGACGGCGGCTTTCTTCTGTACATAAAAAACCCGACAGGGCTGTACCAAGTAGTATTTTATTTCCGTTTTTTCGGAAATCTGCAAAAAATGACGAATTTTCTTTGGATAGCTTGAAACAAATAATCCTCTTATATTTTTTACAAAGAGCTTATTAAGATCTTTTATTATTAATAAGCAAAAAGAAGGTTGTACAAGTAAATTTGTATCAAATTTTTTTAAGTTCAGCGTCCAAGACATACGCTTATAAAATATGTGTAAGTTAATACGCGTTAACAATGCTTGAATGCCATACTCTGTACACGCTTTATATTAGACATTCTTTCAACTACTTTATTGTTTTAATATTTTTGTCATTTTTTGTGGAAAACGCTACTATTTAGTCGGGTAAGATTGAAACTAGAAATATATTATTGGGGCTGCATAATCGATAATGAATTAACATCGCATTTAGGCAGCATTATATCTATTATAATTATATTATAGTTATATTATTATTATTAATTATTATTAATTAATATTATTGATGCAGTTTTTATTTTTATCGCGAAAAATATCGTAATATATGTTATTTGTAATTATTTTTTAATAATCGAGTCAATGATGGATGATTTTGGTATTGTTCCGAACAGTATAAGAGTATAGAATTTTCGAAAGACTAAAATTATTTTTGTTGATCAAAATGTTTAAAAGAAATTATTTTTTAAAAATATACTAATAAACATAAAATTGAATAAACTAAATTTAAAACTTCTGAGAAAATCGATATTATTTTTCAAAGAAGTTTATGAAAAGTCAAAGCGAATCAAAATGATTGAATAAATGTTTAAGAAAAAACTTGATCTTATACTAAATTGAAGAAAAAAAAATATTGTTATTTTTTTAAAAAAAAGTTTTATTTACGTTTTGTTCAAATTTCTTAGCAATTATTTTTTTCTGATTTTTTTTTTTTTTAAATAATCATTGTATAGGCATTTCCTTTATTTTCGACCGAATAAACTCGCCTGTCGGAACGAACCAGAAATCAATGATTGAAATTTATCAATTGGGTACTTAGGGCCGATCGTAGATCAAGAACTTTTTCGTTTCGTATTATTCCATTTTAAGTGCATCGAAAAATCTATGAATGTTTCAAATCATTCTTTTATAATATGCATGAATATGAAATATAGTAAAAATAATTTTTTAAAATCTGTTTAAATGTTATTTAATATGCATGTTAATATTTTTCTAATTTTTCAAAAAACTACTTTAATTCCATTTATATTTTTAAATAGAAAAACTTTTCTAGCACATTTTTCGATGCATATGAAATTGAATTTTTGAAAATCATATAATGAAATTAAGAAAGAGAAATAGAAAAAGCAGCAATGTTTTTTATATGTGCATTTTTTATAACATATGCATTTTTCATGCATTAGAAAAAAATTTTTATTAACGAAACCTCTTTTTGCAAGATTTAAGCAAAAAAAGTGAAATTTATAACATAAAAATGAAAAATTTGTATAAAAAAAATTATTTTTCTTAAATGAAATATAAAAGATCATTATTCCTTAATATTTGCAATTAAATCAAAACGTATAGAATAAGTAATGTGCTTCTGCCTGTTTCTTCGAGATGTCAATCATTTTTTGATTAAATAAATGTTTTTAAAAATATAATTATTTGAAACAAAAAACAAAAGGAGGTTAATAACAATCATATATATTATGCATTTGTATATACATAGAAAATAATTTTTTTGTTATACAATCCAAATCGAGTGATAACACTATATGTGTAATTTGGCAATCACTCGTTATTAAATATAAGAGAAAAATATTCAGATAATTATACTTACAAATATGAATTAAATTATGGACGATATTAATTTTGGATTGTATGGAAAAAGAATTACTGTGTAATATACATATATAGAATATTATAAAGAATGGGGCATTTAGTAAACAAATTTATATCGAAAATAATTTTTTTAATTCTACATAATCTTTTTTTTTTTATAAATTTATTTAATTCTTTAATCGTATTCAAAAATTGAGCGTACACGTCAAGAATTTACATAAATATGAATTTTTTTATATCAAAAGTACTTAATATAATGCATACTGCTAATTTTCATATTAAAAAAAAAAAACCTAGATAATTTTATAATAATGAACATTTAGAAATATAAATTACTTTTAATATAAAAATATTGTTTTCTAGATGCAACATACTTTATTGTACATTCTATATACTTATAAGGATTATTCTATTTTTTGATACGGCAAAGTGATTGTATCTGAACGAAACCGGCCTGTTTTTTACATTAACAGCTTTCTAGTGATTTTTTAAGCGGGCTTTCAAATTCACAATTGAACTGCCATCTCATACTATCGTGGATCATTTTCTCCACGTTATAATAAATTTGAAGACCTTTTGAATAAATTTAATAAACTTTATATATATATTTTCGACGGATTTACTTAATGACAAATAAATTATAATTTCATACGTAAAATGGATTTAATGTAATGAATTATGTTTATCGAATAAGAAAATATAAACGTCGACGAAACATTAGTAAAGTAAAACTTATTTTACTTGAAAATACATATATATGTATTTTTTTTAAAAAATACATATACATGTACCCGTTTTGGGTTTAAAAATATAGATGAAAGCATTGAACCTGAGGATTATTTATAAAGTATATAAAACTTAAATCCGAAACGTTAAAAAGTCGACAACCATTTCCTCAAATGTATTTCTTTTCGATGGAAATTTGGATGATTGTAAAAAATATATTTTAATTGTGCAAAATCATTATTCGTATGATAATAATTATTTTTATCATAAATAATAAATAATGTAAAAAAATTCAAACTATATAATTCTATTGAAATAATATAATATACTCATAATAAACATTTTTAAGTTTTTTTATTTTTAATATTTAAGTTTGAAAGTTTTCATAATATTCTTTTATTAAAAGATTAAACAATATGTTTAAAATTTTGAATTTAAATATTTCGAAAAATTGATTACTTTATTTTTATTTTAAATATAAACAATATCAAATTATTAAAATAATATTTTTTTAAATTTATAATAAATTATTTATCTAAAATGATAAAAACAAATTTATAAAAATAAATTCAAAATTCAAAATTTAATAACATATTTTTTATAAACCATCCAAAATTTCTCTGAAGGAAAGACAAGCCTAGATCATCTAATGTAATTTGTGAATCGCTGTGAATTTATGTAAATAAGCGCAGAAAATAATTTTCAACATGGTGCGTTTTATTTAAGCAATTAATACTAATAAAATTAATAACTTCGAAATTATAAGTATCATCACTGTTTAATACTATAAATTCCAATGGAATTGGAACAGATAAGTATAGAAAATTAAGTAAAAAGATAAAAAAAAAAAGGAAAGCGTTAAATGCGTAGGATTTGACCAGCAAAATAATAAACCTTTTTGATACATTTTATATAGATATAAATCCAATATTAACACTTAAATATGTTAAAACAAAAGCATAATAAATGCTGAAAATTAAGATTAATGGATAAATTGTTTTGGTTAATAATTTTCAATTAGTTTATTAATTTTAATATTTTTTAATAACCTTTTAATATTAGTGTAATATTAATTAATATATTATAATTTTTAAACATTCACTACTTAGTAAAATATTTGTTATTCTTATTTAGAATATTTTTTTAAAATAACAAATATATAAGAAAAATTAAAGAAAATTTAATTATCTTTTATAAATAATAAGTTTTATTTTTTAAAGTACTTATATGCAATTTTAGAAATTCATTATAATAGCTAATTTTAATTTTTTGTGCAATAAAAGAAAATTGCAGAAATTGATACATTATATAAAATCAATATAATAAAATATTTGTTTTAATATAATTTTATCAAACTATCAATATAATTGTAAAATGAAAAAAATGTTTAAATTTCATATTTAAATATAAATATTTTATAACATATTAAGATATTAACAAAAATTAATATTTCTTTTTAAATATTTCAAAATATTTGTATTGTACAGATAAAATATGAAATGATTTATGATGCTTAATGATTTTATATTATTATTCAATATAATAATATTAATATTTAATTTTATCTTTCATCTATTGCAAATATAAAAAATTAAAAACATAATATAGGATATTATTTATAAATTTTTCTTATAAAAATTATAAAAAATTTGTTTTTTATTTTTTCATAATTATTTTAATTTAAAAAAAGATATATACAAGATTTAATCATATATATCTTATATATTATCTTTAATATAATAAAAAATTATTATCTTAAAGTTAAACAATTTTTATATTGTCATAAATTAAATTAATTTTAAAAATAAAGATTAACTAGATATCACTGAGTCAATAATATCAATGTTTTTTTTTAATATTTAAGATGAATCTTCCTCTATTTCTTTTAGTTGTTGTGCTAATCTTGGAGTTGCTAAATCTAAAGGTGTTTTCTTTTGTTTATTCTTTAATGTTGTACTAGCACCATTCTGTACTAATAATTTTGCTTCATCAACACGATTTTCTTCACATGCCAAATGTAATGCACTATTTCCATCAGCATCTTTGCTATCTAAAAATAATTTTGAAATGTTTTTTAACTAAAATATTAAATTTTTTTAACTAAAATATTAAATTTTGTAATTAATGCAAATTATATAATTTGTCTTTATTCTGAATTTAAAAAAAATAATAATTTATTTAAAAATAAAAACAGATTCTAAAAATATTTAATATTTACATAAATATTTAATTTTTAAAATTGTTAGCAAAAATAAAATTTAATAAAATAACTACCAATGTCTAAATTTCGTCCATATTCTATGAGAAGTTTTACAATAGCAATATTGCCTTTGGATGCAGCTCTATGTAATGGTGTAGCTCCACGATTATCAGTAATATTAACATTGGCATCTTTTTCTAGTAATGCAGCACAAATAGATTTCCAATTTTTTGATGCTGCATATTGCAATGCTGAATGACCTTCTTGTGTTTTGGCATTAACATATGCACCTTCAATTAATAAAATATTAACAACTTTTTCACGACCAGCTGATGCTGCCAAAATTAATGGTGTCATATCTGTCTAAAGAAAATTTAAATATTTAATTAATTTGATTACTAAAAGTGAATGTGAGACAATTTTTAAAATTTATATAGATATATTTACATTTTGTTTAATTTATAAATTTTAAAATTTATGCAGAAATTATACAAATAACACAAATAATTTTATATTAATTTATATAATTATTTACATAATTTATAAAGTATAATTAATTAATTAATTTTATATTAATTTATAATAATTTTTTATATAAATAAAATATCTATTAGTAATACTGAATAGCATAATCAAAAATGAAAGACATTCTGAAAATTAATATGTAAAGAATTATAATATAATAAATTATACATTAAGAGATTATACTTACATCATCAGTAGGATCTACTGGTACATCAAGAGATAATAAATATCTTACTAAATCATCATGTCCTCCTAGTGCTGCCCAATGTATTAACATTCGACCATTCTAAAAAAACAAATTTCATTAATAACATAACCTTAAAAAAATATTTTATATAAAATATTACTTACATTATCTTTAGCTATTTTTAACTTTTCGTTTTCATTTAATAAATTCTTAACATCTGTAGTTTTACCACGATAAGCCATATCATAAATTGATTGTTCAGACATTTTTTATATTTTGTATTTAATTAGTTTTGTATAGTATATAATATTATTGTATAGTATATAATATTTATGTTTGAAGTAAGTATCACATCGAAAGTCAATTTATAATTTAAATCAAAATAAAAATATGATAAAAAATATGCATAACTTATTCAAAATATAAGTTTTTTTTTTGTTATCAATATATTCATTAAAATAATGCGAAAAAAATATTATTTCTATATATCTAAAATTATATATATATGTTTTTAAAATTTATATATATATATATTTGTTTTTAATATTATGATTTTTTACAGTGCATTGATTTGTAACGTAAAATTATATATTTCATTTTTAAAACGACAAAGAGTATCGATTTTATCGAAATTATAAATAATAATATATAAATATAATAAATTATGTATAACAAATGTTTGAAAATTATATTGTTAATTATATTGTTAAAAAATTATAAAATTATTATATATTTATATATATATATAATATATATAAAAATATATATATAAAAAATATATAAAATATATATATTTATATAATTATATATATATAATATATTAATTAATATATATATAATATATATAATATATAATATATAATATATAAAATATATATAAATTTTTTATTTCAATATTTAATCAAATATTTTTAATACTATTTTGAAGAAATCATTCTCATGTATCATGAATTGATCAAAGTATCGTCGCTTTAAAAGGAACCATAAAAAGTAAACAAAATTGAAGATTTTCATGTGTTGATTTGTATAAAAATTTGCAATAGTTTATTTTGTGTTATTCGAAGTATAAGTCTGTTTTTTTGTAATATGGCAAAACATCATCCAGATTTAATTTTCTGTAGAAAACAACCGGGAGTTGGTAAGATTTACATTTATATTAGGTTAGATTGTAATTTTTAATTTTAGGTTATAATTATATGATATTAATCAATTTATTAATAATTATATAAATAATAAATTTTTTTTACGATTTTTTTATAAATTTTGCATGTAGATAAAAAATATTATTAAACTCATTTATCCGAAACTGCAAATATAACAAAATTTTTGAAGATCCACTTGTTAAGTTTAAGTTTAATAATATTTCTATTAACATTAAATATTTTTTTTTTATTCTGCATAGTTAAAGAGTTATAGTGAAGAATATATATCAAGAAAATCTACTACAAAGAGGATATGAAGAAAATTTACCAGCTGCAAATTCATATTTTCACTGATCTTCTCAAGTATTTGTAATTATATTATTATATAAAAATATATGTTTTGTTTGTACTTAGACACACACAGAGAGAAAAAGAGAGAGAGAGAGAGAGAGAGAGAGAGAGAGAGAGAGAGAGAGAGAGAAAGAGAGAGCAATTCTATAAATATTTAATAAAAGAATTTTTGAAATAAAAAACATATCCTTTTGATATCTTTTAACACTTCCTAGAAGTTTCCTTTATATTCTTTACTATAACTCTAATTGTGGAAAAATAAATATTATTCCAAATAAATATTATTAAATTTAATAATGATCATTTAAATAACAAAAGTAATATTAGTATTATTTTGATTATTTTAAAAAATAAGAAGAAACTTTATAAGTTAGGAAGTATTTTTCTTTTTTAAAAATTTTTTATATTCTAAATAATTAATCTCTGTAATTAATCTCTGTAAATTATTTAATTAAAAATAATAAAATATTCTATATTTTATTTTTATAAAAAAGAAGTTAAAAATAAAATTAAAGAAACTTTTTGATGTTTGTAAAGTTTATTTTATTTTGTTGAATTTTATATTATATTTTATATTACATCATTAAATAATGATAAATAAAATGACAAATTTTTGATATTATATTTATTATTTAAGGAAATGTGTAATATAATTGATAATATATATAATATAATAAAAATTGACTTTTTATTTTTAGCAATAGGAAGATTATGTGAAAAATGCGATGGTAAATGTGTAATTTGTGATTCCTATGTAAGACCATGTACTCTGGTTAGAATTTGTGATGAATGCAATTATGGATCTTATCAAGGCCGATGTGTTATTTGTGGTGGACCTGGTGTTTCTGATGCTTATTATTGCAAAGAATGCACAATTCAAGAAAAAGATGTAATGTAACTTGTATTAATTATATTATTACTAGTTATAGTAATAGCATTTTATAAAAAGAATGTTTTCTTTCTTTAATTTTTATTATATCAAATTGTTAATTTTTTTTCATGCATATTAATAATAAATGTAAATAATAATAATAAATATAATAAAAATTCACTAAATTTGATTTCTTATAGAGAGATGGTTGTCCAAAAATCGTAAATCTCGGAAGTTCAAAGACTGATCTATTTTATGAGAGGAAAAAGTATGGATTCAAGAGAAGATAAAGATGATTGATGAAAATTTCTAATCTGTAAAAAATATTTCTTATGTTTCAAATAAATAATTTTCTTGTAATTATGATCATCTTTTCATTAATAATTTAAAAAAAATATTTTTACATTTATAATTGTACAATTTCTTCGATACAAAATACAAATATAAATTATTATTATAAAAAATTAAAATGAATGCAATAAATACCAATCGTGCAGATATATGTTTCTTTTTTGAAATAAATAAAATTATATAAATTTTAGAAAATATATATATAAAACTAATATAGTCTTTTTGTTTTTTTAATTTAAAAAACATTCAATTTATTTTTTAATTGTACATTTATTTCATAAATACAACTAAACTTGTAATAAAATTGCCACACCTCCAAGAATCCATTTACTAGCCCTCTCTTTAGTTCTTAAATTAAATGTCCACACATAAGTTGGACCTCGTGATCGTGTTTTATATACGGGACATTCGTACATATTTTTTAAATCTTGTTTATCTTGTGTAATAGCTCTAATATACACTATTGGTAATAATGGAAATAATTCTTTAAATCGAGAATCCATAATACATCCTGCTTGCATATCCCATCGTGCACCTTCCATATATAATCCATTAATATATGCACCTTCTCTTGGTGCTGATCTAAAAAAAATTGTAACAAAAATTGTATTATTGTTTATTTTAAATAATATTTACAGAAAATATATTAGAATTTTATTAATAATAAAAAATTAAGATTGATTTAGAGAATTATTTACAATATTCTTATTTGTACAAATCTAATACAAATATATATGTATATGTTGAAAAAAAAATATTTTTAATAATTAATACGATAAATGTTATTTAAATATTATTAAATGTTTGATTGATAAATAAATAATAATATAATTACATAATTTCCTCTTTGTATTTTCTCAATACTTCACAATATAAACACATTTTGTCTAATGGCCATTCATTTTTGCGTGCAGTTTGTTGCATAATTGCAGTAAGCAATGACTGAGGATTGAAAAAACCTCCTAGCCATATTGATGATGGTAACTATGAAAATATGTATATATTTAATATGTATAATATGTATATATTTAAATAATATATTAATATTCCATTAATATCAATCTTATAAATTTAAATGATTCAATAATAATGGACTATTGCATATAATAGAAAATTTTACATTAAAATCGGCAGTCCAATTAGATAATTCACTTATTCGATTCAATAAATCTGCAAACCAACTATTTAATCCTAATTCTGAAGGATAAGCTTTTTTCTCCCAAGATGGAGGAATAGCATCCATAACTATATAATTTTGTAAAATTTCCATTTCGGGATTGATCGTTAATTCTCCCTTTTAATAAAATATTATTATATTTCAATTTTATAATATAATCTTTATAATGATAAATTTTTTATTACCTTCAAACCTAAATCTAACTCGTGCAGAGATCTTTTAAGTTCTTCACATAATACATTCATTCGTTCGCATTCTTGTAAGGCAACAGTAACAAACGGTGTGCGATCTTCCACCTAAAATATATAAAAAAAATTTCATTAAAAATGACAATTCCTTATTTAATTATTTTTATAATATAATATAATATAATATAAAATTTCACCTAAGTAGAAATAATAGATACCTTGCCGTAAAGTTCTAGCATATTAAATTCTTCTGGTAGTTTATCTAATAAATCTTCTATAAGTCCTTTCATTTTTTCTTCTCTTGAAATTTCTCCGACTGTTGTATCACTAACGGTTCTCGTTAACATACCCAATAATGTTTTAAATAAATTTTCCGCAGTTGATGTTAAAAATCCTAATAAAAATATTATATATATATATGTAATGAAAAAATGATTAAAAAAATCAATAAATGTATATAACAAGATATAACAAGATAGATTTTATTTATTTTCATACTCATAAATATAGCAAAAGGAATTTAATTTAAATAAAATTATTTAAATCATTTTTATTGATATATCCTTGTCATTTATTTTTTAATTCAATAAAATATCACATATGTATATTTACCAATTTCCGCATTAGGATGAAGTCCATAAAGAACAGGGCTCTCAGATGGTAAAAAATTATAGACATATTCATGATATCCATGATAATCAAGACTTGGTGGTACTAAAAAATCTGGTGCGAGATATAATTCGCCTATAAAAAGAGAAAAAAACATATATTTGACTTAATAATTAATTAGTTATTAATAAATTAATATAAAACATTTCAAAACAAAGTTAATAAAAAAAAATATGAACAAAGGAACATTATTTTTAAATATTATTGACACAATTGATTATAAAAATATGATTATAAAAATAATAAAAATATAATATAATATAAATAAAAATATAATTCTTCACTTTTATATAAATATTATATTTATAATTTAATTACCTTCAACTAATTCTGGTTTTAGATATTCTATTAAATATGTTTTACATAGTCTTCTATCCCAATCATCTGTTATATGGCCACCATACATTATTTCTCCAAATAAATAACGAAGATCTTCCCAAGGTACTTTAATACTATTCTCCAAATAATTAAATAGAACGGATACGCTAATCGTTAAATCTCCAAAATTGAATGGATAAGACTGAGTTAAAATAAAATAATTATTTAAAATAATTTATTATTTTATATAATTATATCTATAATTATATATATTTTCTTATTTAAAAAATATATAATTATATTAAAAATATATTTTTAATGATGATAAATTATTTAGAACATAATTTATTAAAAGACAAATATTAAAAAATGTAATTTATAAATTTCAAATATCATAGAATTATTACCTAACAAATCTTTGATCTTTATAATTAATTGAGTAAATTAATGTTAAAGTTATTTACTCTGTTCCATCCTTGTGCTCCAAATTTTCTACGTTCTGCAACTACGGCATGATAATAACAAAGTGCAAATAATATAGCTTTGAATTCAGTTTCTTTGCTACAAGACTCCAGAGTTTCCTGAGTGAAATTATCCAACGCTTTGTGAATATTCGCTTGAATTCCTGATGGTGGTTCATTCGTAATTTTTATGGCCGATTCCAATATACCCTATTTTTTTATAAAAATCATATTTTACAAGTGATATATTTTAACTAAAATTAAAATTGCATTTTTCAATTGAAATAATAATATATACTTGAGGTATTATTGATTCGTGAGGATCTGCACTTGGTTCCGCGCTAATAAACAATCGATAATCATCATGGGGACTCTCTGCACATTGTTCCATTTTTTTTTCCAGATCAGGTAACCATTTCTTCACAAGATGGATATTTTGTAAAATTACCCAATGACCTTCGTTAGCCGATAATTCTAATGCTTCTTCAGCTATGGGTTCTTGACCTTGACCCAATGATACATTATGGAAATTTCTACCTCCGAAAGTGAAACCTAATTGTATTCCCAAATTTTCTACGTCCTGAATTTTTATTGTTTTCATTATTATATAATATATATATTATATTATATTATTTTATTATATAATATTGGATAAATATGGTTATATTATATATATATATATATATATATAGAACGAGTATTTTACTTTTAAAGGATCAACACCAGGAGAGAGAATGAAAAATACAGGCGTGATAGGACTCGTCTCTTCAAAGGATTTATGAAAAGGAGGAGATCTGGACTCAACAAATTTTGAACCAAGTTTTTCTTCCACGAAACATCTAAATAAATTCAATGAGATAATGAAACAAGAATAAGTTAAAGGAAAAAGAAAGTATCAAACAAAAAATATTATAAAAGAAACGAACCTGATCGCATAAGTCATACGATCTAATCTAAGACATCTCATAATACATAATCTTTGAAGAGCAGTCTTATTTTTCCAATCTTGTGGAAAAATTTCTCGTTCCGGTGTTTCCGATTCAACAAATTTTTTCCATCTTTTCGCAGCACCCTCTATATCCTTTTCTAAATTTTGAAAATCATCCATTTGACTCAAATATTTGATTCCACCCCAGCCAACATCTGTTAAAAAATCTACAGGGCTGACTAAATCGATCATATGTGGAAATTTTAATAGAAAATCAAGTTCCGATTGTGTTATTTCTTTTGCTTCCATAAAAATCTATAAATAAATAGAAACATTCTGAAATGCTTACAACAAAATTGCATTTAATAATAATTATCATTTAAAAAAAATTAATTTTACATTTTCACAAAATTTTTACAAAGATCGATAATCGATAATCGATCATTGAAAAGTACCTGAATAGTCATTTGAGTGAGAAAAGTCAATTTATCAGCTTCAAATAAACCTCTACTTGTGTAAGTGAAAACTAGATAAGTAATACTATCGATTAAAAAATCCACACGTTTAGTTATTTCTTCCGAAGGTTCTGCGAATTTAATAGCGTTTAGAAAGACAACGCTGAAAGCTTTCAAAGAAAATTGATAGAGCATATTTATTTTGTATAAATCGTTTAAAACGAAATATAAAAGACTAGCTCTGGCCGCGACGATACGATAAATTTCTCGAGCTTCGTCTATCTTTATCGAGGTTATTTTAGCTTCTGCTACTTTTATTTCTATCTCTGCTGCAGTTTTCTTCGTGGTTTCAAGATTGATTACCAGATCGACATCGCTCAAAATATCTGGTCCCGCAGCTGACAATCTTAAAAAAAAAAAAATGCATTTTGAAATATATAATTTCATATAATTTTATATAAATATATTTTTAAAATTTTGTATCATTTTAATTTTTTGAAATATAAAGAAAAAAATAGAAGGGAGAGATCCTAGTAATATGAATAGAATTTTACCAAAAACATTTATTCTCATTTTTATTGAGAAAACCATATTAATCATACCTGTGCAATAGATCATCTTCCAATGCTTTCAAACTAATTTTAAAGGTATTTTGTTGAGTAGTTAATTCAGCTTTTTTCGATTCTAAATCAGGTCTTTCGGCTTTTACAACATCTCCTAGAAGTTGTTCTTCCAAACCATCTTTCGTAACGGTAAAATTGATAAGAGTGGTTTGTGCTTGTATTTCAGGTTTATAATGAGGATTAGCTAACTTTGTTTGTATAATTAGCCGGAAATGAGGATCATAATCTACTTCCTTATCCCAAATTTTTATCGCCCTTTAAAATAAAAGTTTCAAAAATATTTGTATTTATATAAATACAAATAATAAAATAATAATTAAATAAATATTTTTTATTTACATTAGTACATAGTAAACTAAGCTTTAATAAGTGAATGTTAAGAATTAATAATAAGTTAAAATTAAAATTTATCATAATATTTTTTAATGCAAATTATTTACAATATTACAATAACGTAATAATAATAATGATAAATACATACTTTCCTTTCTTTATTAGATCTCTTTTAATAACTGGATCTAAAACAGGATCGATACTTTCCATTATATTTTCAATTAAAACAATTGCACCATTCGCAATAGAAATTTCAATCATATGTAAATAATTTGGTTGAGTAAGCCTAAGCACTTGTAATTCTTCGCCATATCGATTCTTTATCCATTTAAGTCCTTGTAACTGTGGATCTATCATTAAAGGCCATCTCGCTGAATTCATTAAAATTGTTGCATTTTCGGAAGACATTCTATCGGATGGTAGTCCTTAACAAATATCTCATTATTAATTATATATATCGATAATGATTGATGGCTTTTTAAATCTAAAATCTAATCTAAAATTACGTTTATTAGTATATAAAAAAGTATAAAAAATATATTCACCTTCGTTATTCCATTGTGCAATTTGTGCATCATCAGTCAATAAAGCTAGGATATCTAAATCGGTAGTTCTTGGTATTTTCACTTGCAACTTTTCCAAGAACGGTAACCAATGATCGAACATTAAGTCATGTCTATATTTCCGAGTAAAACATCCCATGTATGATAAAAATGCAGTTACTAGAAGAACATCGCCTGGCACCATTACGAATGAATTCGTCAACCTAAGACAATTTAAAAATTGTGCTTTTCATCGTGTTTACAATTATATTTATTAAAATTACATTTATATAAACATTTGAATATTTATTATATAAAAACTAACATTTTTACTTCTTCGGTCCACCGAATTTTCTCGGATGCTAAACCATTTACCAATCTATTTGCGAGATCGATAGTTAAAGCAGTGGCATCAGCTTCATCCTGACATTTTTGTTTTTCAGCTAAAGCTGCATTCATTCTTTCTCCTAGAATGTCGAGCACTTTTTGTAATTCCTATAATGATAATAGTTATTTTTTTATATATCTGATAAAATCATTTATGATAATATATGAGGAATAAAATGAACAAAAATTTACAGCTAATCGTGTTCTCAAGGCATTCAAATGATCCATAGCAGCTTTTAGCTCAGCATTAGCTTGTGCAAGCGCAGCTCTTAATGGTTTTACAGTTTCGTTAATATAATGGAAAACCATTATATTCCTCACCCAACTGCAAAGACCTGCAGCTGCTAGCGATTTCGTAACAATAATTTCGGGGTCAAAATCTAAAAATACCATATGATTATTATTATTTTTATTGCTTTTATATATTTCTATATTTATATATGATATCCCAAACAAGAGTAGGAACATTTGTTAATTGAAATTCCTGAAATAATTTCAAGCAACATTTTCTTTTGCAAAAGATTTTGTTAACGGATGTTCTCATATTTTTAGGACATCCTATATATTATAAAAAACCTTTATGATTGATATAAGGTTGTATAGCTTTCACCACTTCAGGATGAATATTTTCTTTGTCGTAATTACGAAGTTGCGAGAGAAACGTGTCGATGTGACCCATCATCGCTTTACATGCTTTCCAACTTCTATCTTTCGGTATTACACCCCTCGGAGCGAATAATACTAGAACAGCTTGTACTACCATCGCTACTTGTTCTGGTGGCGTTACAAAAGCTTTCAATTCCGTTAAATTACTCTGAAATCGTGTTCAATTTTTTTCATATTTTTTATATTTTACATATTTTTAAATATTTTAAATATTTATATAAATTTAATTTGATAATTACAAATTTATTTCTTTTTTACTTTATTTAAGGTATCCAGAGCAGCTTCAGCTTGCCGTACTGCAGGTTCTGCTTTCGCTAAATCTTCATCGCATCGTCTCTGTTTTTCAGCTACTGTTTCTTTTATTTCCGCTACCTTTGCTTCTTCCTCCGATACTATCAACAAAAAATCATTTTCATCGTATGATCATTTTTTAGAAATATTTTTTTGATACAATATCTGATAACAAATCAGATAAAACTTTTTGAATTATTGCGAATTTAAATTATTATAATAGATAAGAAGAAATAAAATTTTACCAATCGCTTTTTCCGCTTCCGCTTTCGTATTCTCTAATCGAACTTCAGTAAGAATTCTGTCTGCAATTTCATTCTTTTTTTTCAATTCGACTTCTTGAACTGCTAGGACAACTCTTAGTTCGCTTACCTATCAATTAAAATCTATATATAGTTATATTAATTTGGTTAAATTAAATTCAATTTACAATATATAATGCAATTATAAATATTTTATATAAATTCTTATTGACAATTATTTAATATTAATAATGAAATCATTACTTGGCCAGCACAAGATTCTAATTTATCCAATCCATTCTTTAATCTCTCGATCATGGATTTTACATCATAAGTTCTCTCCACGAGTAGCTTCGAATATAAAGAAATTTGCTCCAAAAATGTTTTTGGAGTTGTATAGTTATATCTTCTCTCATTTTGTAAATAAAGCAAAGAAACATCGTCAACGCTAGTATGCACATATGACATAAATAAAGAAGCCGATGGTTTATATTCATTTGGTAAGTCTTCTAATTCCTGCAATCAAAATATATCGCGGTAATTTAAATCGTAAAAATGATAATAAAAAAAATAATAGTAGAAGGAATTATATATTAATCTAATACAGTTTAGTCGAATAATTCTGTGTCTTAATAATTCGAAATTTGTTCAGTAATAATAAAAACGAGATCTCTTTTGAGATTACAATATAATATTAATTAAGGAAGTGAAATTAATTTATTAATTCATTAAATTTATAACGATCGTGTATTTTTTGATTAATCAAGCATGACTAATAAAATGAGTTTGCAAAAACTTGTTAAATTTGCAATTTTGTGCTCAAATAGCATGAAAAAGAGAAAGTGATATATATTTTATACACACATGTACATAATATAAATTTATAATTTTGCGCTTACTTGAAAAAAAGAAAGTGATATTTATATTTTATATTTATTTTATATTGTACATATATGTAAATAATATTTAACATAACGTAAATATTGAATGTTAACATAAAAAATGAAACGATACTATAATTTTGAAAGAAAAATAATGAAAATATATTCAATTAATATCCCTATAAACAATCTTCGTCTATGCTTATGCATTAAAAATAATTAGTAAGAATTAATCGCTAATGCCATCTTTCGCAAATACTATAAACATTTCTTTGAAGAGAGGATAATTAGGATAGAATAAAAATTGAGAGTTAATGCCATCTCTTGAAGATTTTTGGAAAGATAATTCATTGAAAAAATATTTTTGATACTCGAAAGATGACGTTAACGATTAATTCTTTAACGATTAATTATTCTATCTCTATTCTTTTTCTATGATTTTTTATCCTTTCTTTTTAATTTACGATCTAAAGATGATGTTGATTTCAGTATTTTTATTCTATTTCTATTTTTCTTCAACTATTCGCTTTTCTTAGAGAAGAATATAATTAAAATTTAATTCGATATTTATTCGATTAAACATATATTAATATAAAGTTTGTTTAAGCAAAGATGTGTTCAAATCATCTTACCGCCAAAAATCTAATAGAAACGGATTTCAAAGCATCTTCCGGCCAACCTTCAAACCAATTAATCGAAGTATTATTCACGATTGCTGGAAACTGTCTAGCTCTGTTTCGAAGAGTTGTTCCAACGGGAGAGAAACAAAGAACGCATTTTAATTTATATCGAACTCTATTGATGAAAAACTTCCAACAATTTTCTTTTGTATCCACCAAACCGCTTTGTTTTACCTATGATATAATAAATCATCGACATGGCATGCTACAAAAATAAATTGTGTAAAAATCAAATGAAATAAATTCAGTTTCCGGAATATTTTTGTCGTGATATATTTATTTAACTAAAAACGTATATTAAATAAATATAAATATTATATATTATAAACATACCTATAAGGGTTGAAAAAAAATAAATATAAAATTATTAAAACTCTGTTTATTGATAAAAAATATATACCTCATTTCGAACTGCATTCACAATATTATCTACTTCATCATCCGCAAATAATTCCGAAATTTCACCAAAAGCAAGCATATCGTTTATGAGAACCAAAAATTTTTCATCGGCAACGTGAGAATCGGTCATTAAGAAAGTAATTCCAATTGATTTCAATCCAGATTTTAGATATAAATTGGATAAATCTGTTCTTAAGTCAGCCATTGAATAACCTGTTTTTAATTGTATCTGAAAAACCTAAAAATCAAAGAATAAATTATTTTAATTTAAAAATTGAATTATATTTAATATTATAATTTTACTCATAAATTTACAAAATATAAAATCAACTTTTATTTTTATAAAGCGTAGACTTTTTCAAATATCTTAGTAACTAAAGGTTATTAAATTAAATTGATATATTTTTAATTTAAGTATTATAGTATAGTAATTTGATTGAACAAATGAAAAATGATAAAATCGGACACAATGCTCGAGATTTGAAATAAATACTTTTCAAACGTACTTCTAAACCCGCGATGAAAGAAGCAAGGCTAGAAAGAGATTGTTTTCCGCTTCCCCCAACTCCTACGAGCAATGCGTTTCCTCTTGGTGCTTCCAAAATACGATTTATTTGACAGACTTGGTACATGGCATCATCAAATAAAACTAAATTCATCGCGCCTACCTATTCCAAGATGAATATTAATGAACATTATTCGATTAGAAAATTCCGATAATTTATAATCTTTTTTTATAATTTTTTATTATTATATTATTTTAAATATTACCAATTCATTATAATTAACCAAAGCTTCATTCAATAGCTTCGTTAATTGCGACCAATCTTTTATTGGCATATATTTTGGTTCACCGATCCCTTCGGCAAAATGACAAAAAATTATTGGCTCAGCATATATCAAATTCTCATCCATTTCCTGCGATACATGCAACAAAACGAATTTTTTTTTTCTTTTTTCTTTTACATATAATATATATTTAATAATTATTATATTATATTTAAATAATCGTAACACTTACACTAATATTCTTACGAAGTGATTCTCTTAGCAATTGTTGAAATACTTTTTTGTCCTCGGCACTGATCAATTTATCGGAATATACTCTTGTAGCTTCGTGAACGTACAATCTAATCAAATAATTTACTGTTGGGACAGTGTCGCCAGTTGCAAAAAGTAAACCCTAGAATTAAATTGATGTTATTATGACGCTATTTTGTTTGAATATAGATAATAATTATTCTAGAAAAATAAATCTTACTTGAAAAATATTTGAGATATCACGTAAATTAAATAGATAATGAAATTTAACTGCTGTTGGTAAAAATATCGATGAAATTCTGTTGTGACAGAACAATGCTGCGTGCAACAATGAATCAGCAACTTTTAACAATGCTACATTAAATTTATTAAAAGGATTCATCAAATGTTGCTCTAACATTTGACTATAGATCATTAGTAAATTTTCTTCGGTTGGGAAACTGTGTAAAATTTGTATAGTATATTTATATTGTTCTAAGAATTGAAGATACGAATATCCGTTAATTTTAACTTACCTAACAGCGAAAACGGCAAAATGTCTTTGCAAACGAGGATTAATCGTGAAACTACCGGCAGTAGGATTCATACATGATACGTATTGCGTATTTTGTATTTCCTTTAATGTTAATTTCGTTCTATCGTACCTATTATCAAATTATTATTTCACAATCGATCAAGCAAATAGTATAACTGTGCCAAAACTTAAATACTTCCAATACGTACCAATGATTATAATCGATATGTTGTCTAATGAGTGTGTGAGGTTGGACGGTTCCGTAAGTATCGATTGCGGGCATGTTCATGTCATCGATGAAATAGATCAATCTTTTCATACCAGGTGGCCCAAAATTTCTACCGGTCTTTTTCTCCAAGTGTTTTTCCATTATTCTTTGCAGCATTTCTTGAACGTATGATCGAATAAAAATTTAGAAATTCTTTTAAAATTAGAATGAAATAATCTTTTGTAAATATTTATTACCAGATGTGGTATAATAATTAAGGGGCACGTTCGCAATATTATAAGTATCAGGAAGAGCTGCGAGTTTTTCAGCCATGATCACACTCTTTCCTGATCCAGCTGCACCTATTAACATCACTGGCACACGTTCTTGTATAAAAACATCCAAGAAAAAGAATAAACGTGCAGTTTCAGCAGTTGAAACTAAAGTATTCTATAACAATAAAATAAAATTAAAGTATTGAGTGAAAAATTCTTAAAATATAATAATGCATTATGCATCTACATACTATCAAGTATCAAAAACAAAATTTTCATTTTAATTAGCTTTTATATATTAAAAAAAAAAAAAAAATGGAAACGAACTTGTAACGGTATATCAGTATCCAACTCAAAGGTTGTCACTTTCTCGGTCCAAGGAACCAATTTTTTCGTTTCGTTTTCGATGAAAAAATTGAATACATTTCCACCAGTGGGAAACTTGACGGTTTTAAATTCATTTTGCCACCATTTATTGAACTCGTTTCGCCAATCGATCAATTGATCTTGAAAAGTGGCCGATCCAAATGCCCAAATGCATGCAAAAACAAAGTACAATTCATACCTGTTTAAGGAGAAACATTAGAGAGATTTAAATTTAAATGATTCGTTATTTTCATTTATACCATTCCTTCGGAGATTCTGGTGTTACGTTCTCTTTAACTAGAAAGAAATCCAGTAAATTGCAAAGCATCTCGACGTGACAGATTTCTGGTAACGGCGTAATTTTTTTAAATCTAAATTTTGTCACTTCTATCAGGGTCGGCACATATTTATCGAATAAAATAGTTAAATTCGCTCTCTCTGCTGGGTCTCTTGTTTCTATCCAACTAATCGCAAATCTGTATAATAATAAATTATTACAAATATTTCAAATTATATTTCATTTCGAAATTGTAATTTTCAATCGATAAAAAAAGAAAATTATAATAAGTAAACTTACGGATACCAGCCAATATCTTGGGGATTTATGTAAAGAATTCCAGCTCTGGAAACGGTAGCCGGTGTTGCAGTTCTACGAATTTTCCGAACATGATATTAAACATTGAATCAAAGAGAGGAAAAAAAATGAAAAAAAAAAAAAAAAATAGAAAGCTATGATTTAAAAAGAACTATTACCTAAGATTGGAAATCTCAAATAGAAGTCTCATGGATGGGTTTAAAGCGATTCTTTCGTTGCTAGCCAAAGTCAACACTTTATTGTCATCCATCACAGTGTTTAACGACTCGATCCACATTGGATCTATATCACCGTCAAAAATAATCCATTTAGGATCGGGTCCCGCCATATTTGCCTGATCTCTCATTAACACAGAGAATAATCTGATGAAATTGATCGATTAATCGATTGTTTTTCGCATAAAAGAGATAGAAATACCAACCCATCTTTCCATTCTCGTGTTGCTGGATTGATCACACCAAAAAGTTCGTCGTTCGTAACAGCTTTTGGATTCAAATCATTGTAATAGGGTTTTAATTGATTATTAAAATACGTTCGATTAAGCGTTCTCCAAACTTCGGTCTTCCCAGTTCCGGCAAACCCAACGATGAAAACCGAGTGACGAACATGAAGCAATTCTTCTAACTGGACAACCTGTTTTGTTTAATATTACTTTTAATAAAAATTTTTTTGAGATAGAATTAAAAAAAATGTTTTACATCAAATGTGTTCCATTTGTTGCTTTATACTCTTACTTTTAATATAAAACCATCCTCTGGTTGCAATTTAAGATCCAAAGTGGATTTTCGAACTGTCATCTCGAAATCAAAATCTCTTTTTCGCGGTACGTCCAAAGCAGGAAACAAGTCTCCTAAACAATCGATATTCTTATGAAATAGATATAAAGAATGAAAAAAAAAACTATTATTAAATAAATATTAAAAAAACTATTATTAAATAAATTACATGAAAACGAGATATAAAAGAAAATTAACCGATAAGACCCATGAACACGGGTACATCGTCCGTCACAATTTTCGGAATGTTGAAATCTCTGAGGGCTCTCATTAACACTTGATCCTCGGCTCTATCGGGATCGCCTCTCTTTAATTTACCAGCGACTACTAAAACCGATTTAATCGCTCGTAGACCCCAATCGTAGTGATCTTGTTTCGATAGAAGTTCCCGGCAAAGCTGATACAACGTAATAAACTTCCTTGCCAATAATCTAGCTTCTTGAAAACCTTCTGCTACCAGCATTATCTCGCAAATTAAATCAAAATCTGGAACTACCATGGCGCAAGGCCTTTGTAAAATGAATAAATGATGATAATTTTCTGACGAGATAAAATTATATCTATACAATTCTATCTAATCCATGCCATATCTCTTTTGTTTTTGAAAATATTAAAAAATGTTTTCGAACAAAAATTGTAAATGAATTTAACATTTAAAAAACGAGATATTTCGAGTGATAAGGAATTACGTGAGATTACAATTAGAAATATTTAAATCACTTCATGATACCTGAATAAAGTTTTCAAATTTTCCGGCAATTCCGTCCTTCCAGCATAGCCAGGATTCATGGTAATGAACATTCCAACGGTGGGGACAATATTAAGAATCTCTCCAAAGAATAGGAATGTTGGTTTACGGTGTTTCACCCCGTCTAAAACCGATTTCACTTGCACGGCAACTACCGATAATACTTCTACCGAAATACGATTGAATTCATCGAAACAACCCCATGCTCCTACTTGTGCAAGACCTTTATAAATATTTCCACAGGACTGAAAGAAAGTAACACGTGTTACCACATATTTAAAACAAATTTCCATAATATTCGACTCTTCTCGTTTGTTCATTGGTGGAAAGAAGTTTCGCGAGAGGAATGCAAGTCCGATTGGTTAATTTGGAAAGAAACGCCTATTTACACACACATTTTTGTTTCTATTATGGTACTTTTCACATATATTAATTCGACGATCTATATTTAAATCTTGATGCATTACTATAGAATCGTAATTAATATCAAAATAATTAATAGTTTTGAAAATATTTCAACTTCCAATCTTCCAGATTATCCTGATGTAACTTCATAAATGAAAATAATTTTTACGATTTTGAATATTCAAATTATAACTTTTCTACTATTATATAATGTGTAGTGTCAAGATTGTCAGCAAAGTATTTGAAGTGGAAATAGGCGATTCTAGCGAAGAACCTCTCTTGCCCCTATGCCGTTCTGCGAGACTTCTTTTCAAGTGAACAGTACATTACCTTGTAATCCATTTGCTCGGAACAATTGAATACGTAGACCATTTGGCCCAATGCTCTTCCCAAATCTTTCGTGGTTTCCGTTTTTCCGGTTCCAGCTGGGCCAGCTGGTGCTCCACCCATTATGAGATGCAAGGATTGCGTTAAAGTGATGTAACATCTGTCTGTCAAAGGTGTTATCACCAATCGTGGAACATTGCCCAAATATTCGTAATCATATTTGAACGAAGCATCACAAATATCGGCGAAACAATCGCCAACTTTGTCGTCCCATCTGAAAGTTGAAATTTGAGGTTAAAGTTTGACGAGTAAGGAGAAATGATTAAAATTTTGCACCTGTGTCTTAGCTGGGATTGCCATTGGAAACTGGAAGAACTTTCTGCCTTCATCGTGATCATTTTCCCTACGACATCTCTCGCGTGCACGTCAATCGTGCAAATCGTCATAATTTTTCTTCGATCGCTTTCGATCAAATCCCCGCAGAGTATTGTTATCAACGCGTTCAACTGATTAATCTGCTTTCTCTGATAATCTTTAAACGCGTTTTCGAAACCTTCTTCCAATCTCGCGAAAGCCATATTCACCTCTGTTGTCCACCAAATTTGACTACCGCATAATGCGGGTTGCGCTTGATGATCGAAAATCCATTGCTCTCGTGGTTTCTCGTCGTAAGTGAATACCGCCTGAGATATATGATACCTCACGGATCTCTTCATCGCATCTGTCACGTTATTCAACCAAATCTCCACCTTAAGTAAACGTGTCGATGATTCCACTTTGATGGATTTTCAAAATGATGAGATCATTTTGATTTTTCTTATGAGATTCTCTCGCGAATATATATTTACCTTTCCACTACAATCACAATTTCCATAAATAGCCATATGTTCACCATCTTTGGCGATCATAACTATCGCTTGTTTCGTTGGTTTGTCGTGTTCCATTTTCCACATTAATTTTGCAATAGAATCGTACAATTTTGACAAATGTCGGCAGACTAATTCAGGTATGTTTCCTTAGAAAAATAACAATTTATTATATAATTTCGATAATTTTCGCTTCATTAAAATTTAATAATTACTTTAAATAAATTTGTTTGAATTTAATAACATACTGATCATTCGTGGGAAAAAATTTTGAATGAAGAATAAAAAAACAAGTAAAAAAATGATAGATAATTAAAGTTTAATCAATAATAATCAATAATTAAAGTAAAATCAAAAGTTTTCTAACCATTGCTTAAAATATCGAGTAGATCTGCCGAGGAAATGAAATAAAATCTTGGATAAATTAATCTTTTTGTTTCCAAATAATCTGCTAAAGCTTTTTCGCAAAGATTTAATTGAAATTCTAAATCCTCCAGTTTCTCTAAAAGTTTCGGTCGACTCGTTGCTTTTACGATATTTAAATTGCTCAACATTTCCTTCAGTAATTCCTTAAAAAATAATTATTTAAATGATAAATAAATTTTTTCAAAGTATTTCTTTTAACATAGGAAGGGAAAGTGGGGGGAAAAAACATTAATAAACAATCGATTACTTATTTAAAAATAAATTACTTATTAAAATTACTTTAAACTCTTTGTCAATTTTTTCGAATCGTTTCGATTCTTCGGGAAGTTGGCTTCTAATATCTTCAGAACCGATGAAGATACTTTCGAGATGTATCCATGCCCGTTGAACTTCGAACCATGCATTGATCACCGCATCCGCGGTGCTTAATTTTTTTTGCCAATCGAGAATTTCCTCCAGGAAATATCCAACGAATTTGGACCCTAACATATTTTGTAATTGCACCTGTGATTGCGAAAATCGATAAAAATTAAAGGTAGAATAAAATTGTAGAATAAAATTGTGTAAGTTGATCGTGGAGATCTCTCCATCTTTACTTCTTACTTTATTCATTTAACAAAACAGAATCATAAAAGATTACCTGATTCTCTTCAAGGATTTCGATAGTTTGCTCGTCGATTCTAAGAACATATAATTTCGTACGCTCGTGTAGCTCTTTGTCAAATTCGAGAGTGCTCCATGTATCGTGCAACTCTTTCAACACTTTTTCCATCGCCATTTCCTTTACCGATTTAGCCACGATATTTTTAACTTCTTCTTCGTATTTGTGCAATTGCAATTTTAATAAATCTTCCAACGTGGTAGTGTCTGTCATTATAAATACCACCTACCAACATACACGATAAACATATTCATTTTCATCATTTAATTATCTCAAGTAGTAACTCAATTCTTCTCGTTTGTTAATAATCATATTAAGTTTTTAATTCGTTCTTTGTTTCAGTATCAAAACAGTTGCACAGTTTTCACCACAATGTTGTAACTTAACATAATTGAAGCCAAGGCTTAAAAACTTAAGACTTGATCTACAGTTAACCCAAGACCTAGTTCACATTGTACATAGATTTAAGAATAAGAGGATAAGTTTATTTTGATGTTAACTTCAATAACAAATAAGTTTTTCCACGATTCCGTGGACTGTGTTAATTACCTTCGTTTCAGCCATTAATTCTCTCCAATGTCTATCTCTAATCGCTGGATTCTGCAATTCTGAAACCGCTCTCAACGATGCCATCATATTTCGCACTTCTGCTTCTATGTTGTTATACAATTCCCAAGGACGAACATCTTTGTCCAATTCTATCAAGGAAATGAATATTTGTAAAATTTTTGTTGTAAAATTTTTTATACGATCCATGAAAATTTTTTTATTTTATATCTACAAATAAATAAAAAAGTCAATTGATCATTTTAAGGTTAGAAAATGAAATGTTGAATTTCACTGAAAAAAGTATTGTTCTATTGCTCTATATATATATAAATATTGCTTTATATTTATATTATCTATCTAATATATTTATATTTTTTTATCACAGAGAGAGAGAGAGAGAGAGAGAGAGAGAGAGAGAGAGAGAGAAAGAGAGAGAGAGAAAGATCTTATACATTATAACGCAAGAACTACTTATTATTGAAAAAAAATATGTTTATGAAAAAAAAATACACAAGAAATAATTGGAAAAATTATAAACTGAATTTGATGAATTTTTATTGGTAGGAAGAGAAAAAAAACTTTTCTTTACGTCTTAATTCTCTAAGGATTTTTTTGCATTCTTGATCCATCCATTCTATATCCAATTTCTTCCATGTGGTTTTCTTCCATTCGTTTAGAGACGTCTCGATCACGTTCACATAATCCCAAACCATTTTCAAAAGTTGCATCTCTTTTTGTATCTGTTTCGTTACTTTAAATTCAGGCATTTCTTGCTCAAAAATTGCAATCTGGCCGTGTAAGTCTGTCTCTTCGGACAGGAATTTCAAAATTTGTTCGCGCGATTCATTTAATTTCTCATAGGGATTCTTGCACACTGGACTGTAAATATAAATATATATATAATAATCAGCCAACTTAAACGAGATCATACGATTATTTTTCATTTGAAAATACATTTCAAATTAAAAAATAAAGATATAAATTTATTTTATAGTTATAGAGATTATCGTTATAGAGGTCTTCATCTATAAATTTTCTTAAAATCTTATAAAATAAATAAAAAGCAAATTAAAGAAAAATTTTCAAGCGAAAAATTATCGGTATTGTTTTTTTACTTGAAAATATCTTCTTTATGGAATTGTTCCAAGAAATGTTGCTGTTTAAAATCATAATAGCTTAGCCTCTTCTTCAAAAGTTCGATCTGTCGAGTCATCAAAGGTTGTACAACATGTTTCACTTGAGCAGCTACTTTTTTCAATGTTTCCCAACTGACGGGTAACTCTGTGAGCCAATTGAAAATTTTCTCCTCTATAATCACATTATAAGTTTGTAGAAGTTCTATAGTTTTCTGAAAAATATTATCTTAATTAATTTATCGGTCGAGAGAAAAACGCATTTGTATTTCTATCGCATTATTTTTATTACCTTAATAGGATCGAACATATCTTCGATCTCATACTGGCGATCTCTTACTTCTTTTAGATAATATATGGTTTCCAGAAGCGCATCGTAATCATCTTCCTGAATAGGACGTGAGAAATTTTCCATTGCCGCTTTCAAAAATTTCGATAATTCCTCCAATCTAATTTGTAACGAAAAAATTTAACGATTCAACATTTTGCAAGAAGAAAAATGATAAAAGAAAAAAAAATATTTTTCTAAATTGAACGACCTTTAACTTTATTTACTTTAGATATTTGTTAATAAATTACGACGATTATACAAATCGAACATTTGTAATAAACTATTTTAAGTTCAAAAAAAAAATGTTTAGCGATTAGATTATTCTTCTGACATTGTAAATTTATTAGAAAATAAAATGAAATGAAATAGGAATGAACGAGTATAAAATTCTAATATATCACGTCAATGTCTTATTTCCTTAATAGATAAATGATCGAATTCTCTTGAATTGTTTATATTGCTTGCGAAATAAGTACTTTGATAGTTTCCCGGAATAATGATTCCGAGCCAAATACACAGTTACGCAAATATACAGAATTAGTGCCAACATCGACCGTCCCGATTATGGTTTCAGAGAAATCGGCTCTATTTGCGGTTAGAGGTTAACATGTGATCCGCATTCATAGAACTCCCTTTTATAGATTACGTGAACAGTATTATGTCTTAAAAAAGAAATCATTCGAGTTAGTGGAAACTTGCTTAAAAAAAAAGTTTCAAATTTTTATCTCGTAATTTATATGAAAATTATTTCTTTAAAATCATTGCTTCTTCTATTCGTAACATTTTAACGAGAAAAATTTAATTCCATTTTATTATTATATTTAATATTTCTGTAATATAGAAATAATAATATGACAAAATTTAAACTGCAATCAAAGTAAAAATAATTTTTTTTAATTAATTTAATTTAAAATTTAATTCCATTTTATTATTGGATTTAATAATTCTGTAGCGTAGAAATAATAATACGACAAAATTTAAACTGCAAGCAAAGTAAAAATAAATTTTTTTAAAATTGTAATCACGATATTGAATCTATCAAAGTACTTTAATCTTGTAGATTGAATAAAATTATATAAATATTTTAAAATTTTATTACAAGTGATAGTTACGTTTATCTTGGATTAAAATTATTCGCGCTACGTTATGCAATATTATTATCGATTTCCCAATGAATCCTAACTTAAATTCAAGCGAGGTAACTTTGGATTTCTTATTTTTGACACATCTAGAATATTAAATGCATGAAAAAATCCTTGAAAGATCCTGATGACCTCGTTTGAGTCTTTTTATGTATGTAATAAAGATATAAAATGAAAAAAGAAAAATTGAAAATTACTGAGTGGTAATACGCTTGACCAAATAATCCTTGAGCACGTTGGACCATTTGCAAATAACGTTTAAAAGAGTCTGTTTGAAAGGCTTTATATCGAGTCTCAACCATTGACAAAGGACCTCTTCGTTTTGCAGTTTATCACACTCGTTGTACAAATCGATGAAAAAGTCAATTTCCCGTTTGAAGTCTTTCAAATCCGGTTTCTTTTCCTTCAAATTTTCTGGAAGATATTCTGGATGTTGTTCGATCATCTCCCTTTGCTCGGGATTTATGTATTGAGCGAATTTCAAAAAATAAGACAAATATTCTTGCTTATCGTCTGTCCACAACCAGGAATAGTTTTCGTATACCTGTAAATGATAATTTAAATCAATAATTTTCATATTATTTTTCTTATTATTCGATTGCATAAACTATTGAAAATTGAAATCTTAAATTTGAAGTAATCACGTTACCAGAGCATGCTTTTTTACTTCTGTCAAGGCTAGTTTAACTCGATTACAAGTTTCTTCTAACATAAATACGATACCTTTTTCTTCGGCAACGTCCACCTTTGAGAATAAAGAAATTCGTTTAAAATTTTATATCGAATAAGAAATAAATGGATTTTCATTACAATTGATCAATTATAACCAAGAAGAAATATACCGCGTAATTCTCTAGCTTCTCGCGCAATTCAGGATCGACACGTGGTATAAGGATACCCATTTTCATCATTTCAAGTAAAAGTGATTCGAAAAAAATGTAGAAACCTTCCGGATCGTCTAATTCCACCGATGGTCGGAAAGTGATTTTAGGATTCTTTCGTAAAAGATTAAAAACAAATGTTTTGTTTATATGATAAAAATTGAAATATATATATATATATATGATGAAAAATAATAAAAATTTTTCAATTATCAATTTTTTATTTCGATAAATTTCCAAAACAAGTTTTTTTACATTCTCAAAGGTATTCACCTCTAAACACATTTGAATTTCGAATGAAGGATATATATCGCCTTCAGGATCAGTTTCATCAAGAATGTAACAAATACTGCGAAAAACGTAATAAATTGATTTTTTAATTCTTATAAAATACTGCATATTATAAGAGATATAATGTCGGTAAATCAATAAAGTAATTATTAATAACCTAGTGGAGACCGCTTGAATAAGACCTTTGGAAATTAAATTGTCAACATAAGATAGATAAGGTTGCCATTTTTCACGTCTCATTGCCAACGTTTCTTCATCAACTTCCTCTTCTTCTTCCACTTGTTCTTCTTCTGCTTCTAATAATATCTCTTCGGGTATTTCCTCTTCCACTCTGTAAGAAAGAATTGATATAAATTTCTCTCAGTTATTTAAATTAATGATTAATTAAAACTGAATATAAAAAGTATATGATTACATTTTCCATCTTCTATGGAAAATATACAATAAAAAAAATACAATTTTACAATCTTACTTTGGAGCCTCAGGTTCTACAGCTTCTTCAGGTATTGCTTTCTCTAATTCTGTTTCCTGTTTCTCTTGTACAGCTTGGTAATAAATAATTCGAATAAATCAGTAAGGACGTTTATCAAACGTTAAGTAATTGTAATTAGAAATTATAATTAATTACTCTCTAATAATTCCAAGTCTTCTCTATCATAGAATTGCTCCGGGAGCAAGTCGAAAAAAAGTTTATAATTCTCTTTTAATATTTGTTCCAATTGTTCAGCCATTGATTCGATTTCCGCAAATCTTTCCGCGAATTTATCATCTTTATCAATTAGAGACAACAAATTTTCATCCCTGGTATCTTTACGATAAATAACTGGTATCATCGCCCAGCTATACATGTTATTCATAATATTTTTTAAATTATTTTGGGCACGGAACACTCTGCTGTGTAATTTCCATATAATTTTTAATAAATCATCGATATATTCCATAACTCCTAAATAATAATTTGTTCGTATATCATGTAAATAATATTATTGAAATATTTTAACCATGATTTAAATTAGACTCTCTACCTTCCGAATTCCAATTATATTTTTCTTGACCATCATCAATTATATTATCAATGTTCATAACCTCATCTTTTACCAATTGAAATTCTATCGGAATGCTTTCAGTTCGTATTCTATTATACCTGAAATAACATATACTATGTCATATAATAATCGAATCATTTTCTAAAGTTTTTTATTGAAATAAGAAAATTTTGTTTTATTATTATTTTCTAAAATAATTATTACTCGATTGATATTCAGAAGATAAAGATAAAGATATATAGATACAGAATATTTAATAAATAATAAATATATATATAAAACTTTAATTTTTGCAAAAAAAAAAATGAATATTTTTGAAATATTTTACTTGCGTGAAATAAAAAGTGAATCAAAAACATTCAAAACAATGACTCAATAAAAATAAACATGCTAAACACGTATGTCAAATTGGCGCTTCATTGGAAGAACTCATTATCGTAGCTGAGACTTACATTTTAAGTAGGAAAGATAATCTTAGGTAGAATAATAGAATAGTATAGCTGAGTAATCATATAAAACTACAAACTGACAATTCATCTAATAAAGAGATAGCTTTACAATCTTTAAATCATCACAATGATGAATCATCACATCTTTTTCAACATTTTGCTATTATTATAATTAATTTTATAAAGATTTAATTCGAATATACCTCTGTTATTGTGTTGTATAGATATATCTATTTTATATTTGAAAAAAATCATTTTTAGAAATAATTGAAATAATTAAAAATCATTAAAATTATTATTCAATTTACTCTTTCATTCAATAATATTCTTTTATACGTTTCAAAATTATAAATATTCATTACAATTAAAATTTTTAATAATAGATATATAATTTTAAATTAATTCATTAAAAAAAAATTTAAAATTAAATAAAGAAAGCGTAAAAAATTACGTAGAGTTGAAAATTACTTACCAATTTATTATTAAATTCAACTTGTAAGTACTATCAAAAAAGAATTGTGATCTAGCATAAAATTCTACGGCATCTTCGGGAAGATCAGGTTTCTTTATAATTGTCATATAACGGATTTCTCTCAAGGTAGTTTTCAATTCTTGGGCAAAATTTGATTCTAATAACCTATCGTCTCCAACTTTTAAAAGAGTTTTCAACAAATGCGTTTCCCAAATTTCTGGCAATCGTTCTTGCCAAGCGGTGAATATTTCTTTTTCTTTGTCATCAATAATATTCTTGAAAAGAAGAAAGATATTGTCAAAATATCTAATCTTTTATTTAACAAGATTATAAAGCAATGAGAATGGTAAAACTCTGAGATATTCGAATTTTACAAATAATACAAATTACAAATAAGAGTTTCGAATTTTCGAATTTCATATTTAAACAATTGCAAAATATACATGTATATAAAAAATATATCACTATTAAATCGTATTAAAAATTAACTTATTTGTTAGTTTGTTTATTTCACTATTGAATATTACCATTAATTCCTCGTATTTACTTCTAAGTTCGCTCTCCATTTTTTCGGTAATCAAAGGATGATCGATAAATTTGATACAATCAACTGGATAACGAGTTCTGTGACGAAGTTTCACTAATAAACACAAAGATGCAACTACCGGAGGCAAATGTATATTTATCCCGGTATACTTCTTTTCTTCAGGGAACGTAAAATTTTGATCGAATAAAATCTGTAATACAATTACCGAGTTATTATTGTTATTAATTATAAGTTAAAAGTTAATTCACCGATATAATGATATAATGATAATTCAATTTTACCTTTATTTTGTCAAAATGTACATTCATTCTGGCAGTAATTGTTTCATAATTGTGCCAGAGTTGAGCCATTATTAATGGTCTATTGGCAATTGTACCCATTATCCATATAAATTTATAATACGCCTCTAAATTGTGACATTCGGCAAATGCTTGATCGAAAATGCTCGCCAATTTTCGATCATATTGTTCTATCTTTCATTCCAATAATTATTTTTATTAATTAGAAATAAAGTAGAGATAAACAAATTAAAAGTTGAAAAAAAGATATTTATTCGAAGCGAAAATTAGAAAAATATTATTAAATAGATAAAAATGTTTATACAGCTATACAAAAGCTGTTGAAAATATTTCTGGAGAAATTATATTTTTTGTTGTTAAAATTTATACTTTTTCTTTTTTCTTTTTTATTTTTCTAATAAAATTACTCAATTTTTAATAAAGGATAACTTACTTCTTTGAAAAATTTTTTCAAATCTTCACTAAATTGTTCTTCCTCGGGCGTTAAAACCTCATAAGGCAATTCTCCAAAATGTTGATACAACTTAAGAAATTCTTCGTAAATGGTTTCAACCATAATAAGCAATGATTTTCCTTTCAAACCAGCAATTTCTATTCTCTCTAGTTTCAAATAATCTTGTACTGTGTCAAATAACAACTGCAATAAAAAATTATCGTAATTACATTATCGTATACATTTGAAAAATTAATATATATAAAATTTGCCACGTATACAAAATAACCCATAATTCATATTAGAAATAAAAATTGAATCAAGATTGATATTGCCAAGACTTAAATAAAACAAACTATAATTTATAATAAAATTATTGTGTGCCATGTGATAAAAATATATATATATATATACATAATTATTTTTTAATAAACCTCGATTTCTTTAAGTCTCTTCTCAAACGTATGAATTCTTTCGAGGACTAATTTCTCGTGAAAATTCCAAGGTACAGTCTCCGACGATCTGAAATACATATCTATCCGCTCTTTATATGATCGAAATATTTCTTGATAACTAGTAAGATATGGTAATACTTCAGCAATCTTCATTTTATTATCATCAATATCTCCTTCGAATAAAGTTGATGGATTTATATATTTTATTGCCTATAAAGAGATGTAAATATGAGTTTTCAATTTAATATAATAATAAGATATTACAATACTATATTTATAATACAAGAATTAAATAATATACCTGAGAAATGATCAAATTTGAAATTTCTCGTAACAGTGCAATAATTCTTTCGAGAGTATAGAATCTCGAATTAGCCCACATTAAGCAAACACAGTGCAGCAATATTTTTACCTTTGACAATATATCTTTAAATTCAAGCGTTTCGATTTCTTGGAAATAAGTCTCTAAAGGCTTTAAATAAAGATTGATATCTCTAGTTTCTAATAATGCTAAAAAAATTCGAGTAAAACTTATATAAAAATAGAAAATATCGATCATAATTTTCTTTCACTAAATGCAATTTTTCGCTTACCCGCAGTGACGTTGTTTACTAAATTTTTGAAATATTGCGAGTAAGGACTTTGCGTTTTCTCTAAAACTAAATCTATCTGTTTCACCTTTGGATCTTTAAGTTGAAAATAGATGGATTCCATATTCTTTAACCTCATATTCCAATAATCCAATTCTAAATGAAATAGAAGAATAATTGTTATTAAAAAAATAGCGTTGCCATTTGAAAAATGATTACCGGATACAAGAAATTTTCCATTTTTGGAGAATTTAAACTCTTCGTTAAGAATCTCATTAATCTGAGTCGCCCATTTTACCACAATTTCTTCTATATTACTTTTTACTTTAAGTTGTTTAGATATGTCTACGTCGGTATAAAATTTTGGATCTAGAATTTCTTCGATATCCATCGGCATTGGTAGTAGAGTTTTTCCCGTTATTTTTCCTCTTACCTAAGTTTTGTTTCATTCATTTCATTTCAATTCGCTTGAGGTATTAAATTAATACTTATATTTTTTATTACCTGCCATATTAAAGTTCGAAGATTGTATACTTGCTTCTTGACATCTTTACGAACTACTTCCGGCCAACCAATATGATTTTTTGGATTAGATAACATAGGTACGTATGCCTGGAATTGGAAGAAAATGAAATAGAAATTTTCGAAATGGAATGTAAGAAAAATGTTTGAGAACCTGTTCGACGAGCACGGCTAATTCCTCGATCGGATTCGGCGCCATGTCACCCGGTATCAATATTTGCTTGTAATTAGCTTCCGTGATCACTTGGGGTTTCCTCTTCAAGAAGTACGTCTGCTTTCTCTTGGCTTGCGTTATTTCGAGTAGAGGTATCAACACATTGGCGGGTGTCAATTGCAACACGAGCACCATCTCCGATGGGGTGGTTAAGAACTTTATAATTAAATCCTGAACACGAGAGTTGAATAATTTGATCATTATTAAAACGAACAAAAGAAATTCATTTTTAAAAACTCTTTCTTTCAACGATTATCTCTATAGAAATTGTTGGACAAGTAACATAATGGTCACGCTATTCACAATGTTCTTCGCGCGATGTATTTCGAAAAAATAATGAGCAAATTTTAAAAAATGAAATGACAATTCTCACGAAGAGAATGATCAACGAAGTTGCGAGTAATTAGAAAAAATTTTCTATTTAATTCCATCTATTTAATTAACTTCATAACATGCTCCTTTGATAAATCTATCTTACTTATGTAACATGTAATAAGCAGAAAATGTTTTTAAGAAGATACGTCATATTTTTTAACAAGCATTCTTTCTCATCGATGAGTATCATATAAATTATAACGAAATCAAAGATTTATTAACGATTGGATAACGAAGAATTCCGTCTTTACTAGTACGATCGCGTAATTGAAGTCAAATTGACATTTCCTTTACGAGATTATTTGCAATGGTACTAGATTTATTATCTATGACCTTTTAGATATCTAATAAAAATGAAAAGAAATCAGAAATGAAAATCGAAATGAAAAGTTTGAAAGAAAGAATCTTAAATCTCTTATATAATAGACATGTGATCAAAGAAATTGAAAGGTATGTAATAATGTAAAATGTTTTTCCAGCTAAAACATATAAAGTGGAAATTACCTTATATTCTGCATGTGCCAACATTTTCGCCCATCTGTCGATTTTTAATTTTCTCGAATGAGTAAGATAATTAAACATATATTCAAACCGTGGATCCTCATCCTTTTTCTCATCATCCTTTTTCTCCATGTTTTATTTACCACTTTATTTACTACCTTAGATCTATCATTTCTTGTTGATATAATTCGATATAGGAATACGTACTTTATCGTATGTTTGTACAAAAAAATGACGATTCATGTAACGGAAAAATAGATATCTTCAGAGATTTCTTCTGTGATATAATCTCGAATAAATTCATACTATTTTTAAATTCAAATGTAAATGATTTTCAAATTGTTCTTTTGTTCTTTCAAAGTATTGAATTTTAAAGATTTTGTTTAATTAATGACTAATATATATGATTATATAAATATATCAAAACATAATGCGTTAAACAATGAAATGATCGAAATATGAAGTAATCGATTAGTGTCGAGTGGCGTTAAAATGCTTGACATAATCAATACATTAACGCTGTTCCCTGTAACTAATAAATCTTCTTTGATCTTTCTATTTAACGTGTATTTGCATAGATATGTTAATCTATTTTCACTTCTTTGCAAATAATAATACAATATATATACACGTATTTATTTCGTAAATTCCTGTTTTCACAAGTGTATTTCAATATTTTTTATTTATAAAATTTTACGATACTAAAACTCACGATTAATATTAATTCTTACGTCATAAGTAACTGTCGATATGCAAAACAGAATATAAGTATTTAAGTCAACATGTATATACATTCTTAAAGATCAATTATGACCTAATGATATTTACATTACTGGTTGAGAAGTTGATATCATGATGAAACGTAAAATCTGTAGCCACTGTAGAACGTGATATGTATGTAGAACGTTTGCGAAATGTTGACAAAAAACACGACATCTATTCGGAACTCAATTGAACTAAATCGGTAAATTTAGTTCCATTAACCTTAACCATGAAAACTTAAAAAAGATTCATAAAAGAAAAAAAAAAGATTAAATATTTTCCATAAATATGTATTTTCTGTTAAAAGATATAAATTAGTTTTAAAATTTGTTTTAGGAGAAAAAAAGAAAAAAAATGAAAGGTTATTGGATATTATTGGATACTTGGATTTCGACGAGAGGGTCAAGGCGAAAGAGCAAAAGAATCTCGGACCAGTGTCGTTCCTGAAGAGTGAGGAAGGGAGCTCGATTCGGGAGTGGAAAGCGGCAGGTGTTCCGGGTTAATATTCGTAGCGAAGAGGATTGTTTTGCAATGCCGGCTCTTCGACCAGCTTACGTGCGCCCGTGCCTGTCTCGTAATTAGTTTGACTTTCACCGTGAGGGCCACCATACCCGGCACCACACACTTTCGCTCGTCTTCTCCTCTTTTGCCTCTGGAATTACGTTACGGAGAAAATGCTTGAATGCGCCCACAGGAATTTAGGCCGATATCAAGGACGTTCTTGCGACGTAACCTAACCAGATTCGAATCGTCGCCCGATCCACTCATCCGACTCACCAAATTTCATACAAATCTTTTTACGATCGACGACGTACGAGCCGCTGTGCATCCGTGCTCGCTTGCTCAATACACTTTCGTGTAATCAGGCTTTGATTTGTCGTAATCTCTTGGAACGATCTATGCGTACGTTTCTATCGGTACGATGATCTTTCGATCCGTGGATCGTGATCCTTTACAAAGATGCACTGGATCGTAACGAGATGATTGATTGTAAAAACAATTCGAAACAGTTTGATTTGTAATCTGTCAAAAATGCATTGAAAATATGATCACGATATAGGAAGAAAGATCAGAATAGATATATATATATATATACATAGTTAGAAAATACTGATTTGTAATATACATTTCGTTGCCATTTAAATGCCAACTTTCCTTTAAATGTTTGGTCCTATATAAATACATTTGTTAATTTTATACATTGACTTTTCTTACTTTCATTCGAACGAAATTTTATCTGTTTTCGAATTCAAAGGTTTACGTCTTGAAACTAAATTGTTTCGCATATCTGAATTTCAATTGGCGTACAACAGACCTACCTTATTCGATTAATTTAACAAAAACGAACGTATCGAAAAACGAAAGTAATAAATTACATCGTCCATAGAATCTCAACTATAATTCGATACAATTCGATAATGATCTAAGCGAAACGCGAAAGCGTTTATATTAAATTAATTAAATTAAAATAGACGAATGAATGAAACGGATCCTTTGTTTACGCTTTCGATTGCGACGCTTGAATAGCACCAATTCCCGCTATAAATTTCGCTTCCATTCTAGACGAAAAATCTAGGGATGCCGTTAATAAGATCAGGGTTACGTAGCCCCCTGAAGATCGTCCGATCGATGATCGAATAAGCGAAGAAAGAGGATCGAGGATGTTCCTTTTCCCCTCTTCGAGCTCGTATAAAAGTCCGAATGTGTCGATCCAGCCGACACAACTGTGAAAGATCGTCGGTGAAAGACGTTCTCCTTTGCGACATCTACCTCTCGGTCGCCGCGAAATTCAACCATGTTGCTCCACCTGGTGAGTTGTTCGATTCCTTCTCGTCGTGTTTCTCCTAACTTCTTGTTATTTGACATCGTTAATTGACATGGATTGCTATTGGTCGAAGACCTAATATGGAGTTCAATTAGAAGTAAAGATTTTTCCTCTAGGACTAATCGTATTTTTTCTAGGTTCGCTTTGGTGATTAAATAACAAATAACAAATGATTATCGAATCCTTTATTATATTCTATGAAAATTGTATAATATATTAATCATTACTGTGAATTTTATTCACATCAAGTTTTTAATTCATATGCCTCCTAATATAATTTAAACATTCAAAATTTCGTATGTCGATAATTTATTGGACGAATTTTCAGTGGATACAATGAAAGATCTAGTTTCTACAAATTCTTCGAACAAATTTGTTTCGTAACTTGTGCTGAAACAAAAGACAATAGATATACCTTTAATCATTATTTGTAACTCATTCTTTCGGAATCAGTGATTCGTTCTTGTTGAACTATTCAGATGATTCAATCTCTTCCGGAATTTGTTCACTACCGCTTTGCTTTCTACGTAGGTATTATTTATTCGAGATTTGAATATAATTGATATCTTTATTTTAATATGCATTCGTTAAATTTAAAAATCTGAATCTTTTTTTTTTATTGAAAAATTGCGTTTATTTAAAAATTTTTTTTATTTTTAAAGTAATGAAATTAAGTAAAACGTATAAATGCTTTTGGCTTAAAAGTCTGTTTATTATTGCGTTTCTAGACTCAAAGGAAATCGAGCAAAAAAATATGCTATTTAACTCAACACCCAACTTCATTTTCCGCTCTAAATATATCAATATGAGAATTTATTCGAAAACGCTGAAAGAAATTTATTATTTCGAGGTAACGATTTCTTCAACTTTTCTTTGATTAAAAACTTTGATTAAATTTTTTAACTCATTTCTAATGAGAAAAATAAATGAGAACAATTTCATATGTACAAAATGATTTCATTGCATTCTTTATGATGAATACGATAAATATGATACTCATCAAATATAATAATATTTTTATTAAATCATCAATTTTTAAAGCTTCTTTCATTATATATAGATTCTTATCTCAATATACTCATTTATAAATAAATCAAGGAATAAAGATTACAATTATTTTAAAATGTTATGTAAACATTTATGAGAAAAATAAAAAAAAATTAATAGATCAATTAAAAAAAAAAATAAAATAAAATAATAAAATTAAGAAATCTAGATAATTTCTAAATAATACTATGAAAAAAAAAAACGAACTCTTAAATTATCTTTATAAAAAAAAAACGTATATTATGAAGCTCATTAAGGTAAGATACTTAATTTTACGGTTACATTATAAATTATGGTACATCTTTATAAATGATTATACTTTTCTCATTTATTTCGATCAGTGAAATTTAAACGGAAGAAAAAGTTCATCGATGTCGAACACACGTACCCACGTGTATCTCGAAGAACAAATAAGGAGAGGAAATTAACGACGATGGTCCACCGTTCAATTCGAAAGTAACCGAATTGTTTTCACGAAGAAAGTCAATCGTGTATTCCGAGTGCATCTGACTAAGTACAACCCAATTCGTATATACACGTATTTACACGCTAGAAACGCAGGGAACGTTGCTTTCGCAACCAATTTTCTAGCGTGTTAAATTGTAACGCTTACGTAAGGCTGGCCTCACCATCCTGTGGATGCAACGAGGAAACTAAAATTCGTGGAAACTGCGTCAGCGGTGTATCTACGCGTGATTTTAATTTTAACTTCATTCCATTCACAAACCAATGTTCCTTTAAATAGTGGCAAAATAAGGATTAATATAAAGACGGTGAATGACGTGGAAATTCTATTATATGAACGTGTTTAATATATATTATTTTCAGAATTATTTCTTTGTTTATCAATGTGATATATGAAGATCAACTTTGTTTTTTCTTTAAATAGTATCTTTCAATGAAAACGTAATAATTAAAGAATAATAAAATTAGAAAGCAAAGCATGTTTACTCATTTTTATTCATTTAATATCGCGTAAAGAATGGAATAAAATGATAAAAAATATAAAGTTAATTAGAAGATCCAAGTAAAATATCATTTGTATGATAATTAATTAATTGTTTGAAAAAAACACATCGTAATTTATAATTTAACAGTTATTTTAATTATAAAAACTATATATAAAATTCGAGTTGCTAACCGAATAAATTATTCAATCAGTTTCGTAATCAAGCCAATAAACAGATAGTTACACTTTCTTTGAAGAAACAATACTGTAAATTCTCCCTTAAAAGAAAGGAAAAAACAGAGCGAGGAAACTGGGGAAAGGGGAAAGCTAAGAGAGTAAAAGTAAAAGGTGCTACTTATTTTTTCATATCTATTCACTGGAAATAATTAGTAATATCTTAATTACATCGTCTCTTTGTTCTCTCTCTCTCTCTCTCTCTCTCTCTCTTCATTCCTTTAAAGTTTATCGATATTTAAAAAAATTATTTGTTATCAATTTATAAAAATAAAATTAAAGCATTTACATTACTTTATTGTTATCTGATCGTGGCCAGCAGATATTAGTTGATATATTAAATATTTCGTAATGAATTTATTTTCATTTATTAGAATGTGAATTTTTAATTTCAACGGTGAGAAAAAATTAATTTGAAACGTCGAATTAATTCTTCTTCTTTTTCTTCTCGAATTAATTAAGGAAATTTATTAATATATTCCGAAATCATACTCGGTATGCACACATATGTATATATATAAATCAAATGAAAGGATACGATGTTAATTTACAATTTGACACGCTTATTGGAATACATTTTTCTTTCATCTCTTGATAAATATAGAAGATGTTACGTTTACGCTTCTATATCAGATTTTAACGCATCCTGTGCTTAAT